AATATGTTATTCTGTGATGATCTTTTAAACACTAATACTTTCACTTTGCATATCAAATAGATTTAAAACACTGCTAGTTATTTATTATTTCTTGAGGGAGAATGTGAGCAAGTAAAACCAAAGTCACAAATGATTGTAGTATTATGGACATGAGAATGCACTTATCCTGGTGGCTACCTCTTTTTAACTTTTTCTGCCTTAAATGATACTTTAACTTCTATCCACGATAGATTTGCTTGCTTGAGTGGCCTGTGAATTGGCTTGCTGCACGTGTTTAAACAAACATGTGAACTTGACTCATCAGGCCCATGGGACCAGACAGGCTGCTTTAAAGAGCACCAAGATAACTGTGTGATTTTCTTGTGGGGCTGTTCTTTACCATCATAGGTTATGGAGAATAGGGATAATCCGTAATGATTAGAGAATGGCAAATGTTAGACCTATCTTCAGAATGGGCCGAAAGTTCAATCCAGGGAACCACAGGCTGGTTCGCCTCACTTTGGTCTCTAAGAAAGTCATGGAGTAAGTCTTCCTGGAAGACATTTCTGGACACATGGAAAGGTGGTGACTGGGAACAGTCAGCGTATATTTACCAAGGATAAATCACGGCTTGACGAACCTGACCACGTTCCGTGTTAAAAATGACAGGATTTGTGGATGAGGGGAGGATGTCACTTACCTCAACTTCAGCAAGGCTGAAGGAAATGGCTAACAGGAACCTCATGAAATCCAACAGAGACAAAAACGAAGTCCCGCATCTGAAGGAAGAACCCCAGGCTAAGATTGGCTGGGGGTCTGACAGACAAAAAGCAGAACACGACTCAGCACCATGTCCTGTGAGCAAAGGCAAGCGGTATCCTGGGCTATATTAACAGGAACAGAACCAGAAGATTGAGGGGAAGTGATTATTTCCTTCTACACAGAACTCGTTAGATGTTCTGTGAAAGACATCAAACTAGACGGAGTTTGGTGGAGGGCCACCAAGACAGTCGGGAACTGGAGCGTTTGCCCTATGAGGGGAGGCTGATGGAACCAGGCTTGTTCAGCCTGGAGAATAAAAGGCTTCAGGGAGGCCTAACAGCAGCCTTCCAGCTCCTATGAGAAGATTAATGAGATGGAGTTAGTCTCTTCACAGTAGTGCATAGCAGGAGGACGACAGGTAACACATATGTTGAAATAAGAGAGATTCTGATGGGAATGGGGGGGGGGAATGTATTTCCCCCGTCCATGAGGACAGTTCAGCAGTAGAACAGGAGCGCAGGGTGGTTGTGTGGCCTCCATGACTGGAGGCTTTCAAGGTTTGACTGGATAAAGCCCCCTGGTCTGGCCTCGTGGCTGATGCTACACTGAGCAGGACTAGAGAACTCCTGAGATCCCTTGTAACCTCAATTACTCTATTATCCTAAACAACTGTAAAAATTGAAAATAATTTTGAGAATGTATTTCTTATCCCCCAACCATTACTCTTTGCTTTTCTGAACTGAGGGATGCCTAGGTTAGAGTCCTTTGATCCTTCTGTACAGTTGGTGATGTGGCTTAGGCTTTTGATTGTACCAGAATACAAAGTAATGTAAAGATAAGGAGCTCAAAGTTTATCTTGTAGATGTACTATGACATGGCACATTGGAAGCTCAATATTCATTTGGCTACATGAAGTAGCGTAAAAGGATAGACTATAATCTAGATTTGTACTGGATCCTCTGCTGGAAAGAAATTAATGGCAATTTACTAATATAATAGCCTGTTCATTGGAACAGTGACTGTTGCAACAAAGTTGCCATTATGAAAAGCAAAGGGAACTTTTTGTTTTTTGAATCAGACTGATCCTAAGTTTGGGCCCAGGTTGGGGCGGAGGAAGTATCATTTTAAGTCGGTCTGTCTTCTTGGCCCAGCAGAATCTTTTTATTTGGGGGAGGGAGGTATGGTTGACACAGTGAACAGATAATGTTTGGCATGAGATCTCATGAATGGCAAAGATGCAAGGAAGATGGGAAGAAACATGTGGCTGGGATCCAACATCTCTCCAGCTACTAACAGAGGTATTGGATCCCAGTCACAGGTTAGCAGCTACTTTGGAAGCATGGCTTGGGCTTGGTTATGCGGTGCTGGATAAACCAGCTAAGATTGTGGCTGTCAAAAGATTAATTTCCCCTTTTCGGCTGCCTTCTGGCTGTGAGCGCTTGCTGCTTACCTGGCTTGTCTAGTCACCAGACCTTTCTTTGAGGTGCTTTAATTTATTTAAAATACCAGAAAACTAATCCATATTAAGGGAAAGAAAACTGAATAGAATGCTTATGAAAAGTTAGCTTGTCGTTCCAGAGCTGGTGGGAGGGGAGCAAGCTGCTGTATTGGATAAGCCATGTGTGAAACTGCCCTCAGTTTTGTGTGTTCTGAGCCCTTGCTAGACCTCCACCCCCCCTCATTCCCTGTGAGATGTTAACTGTCCTGTTTTAAGGCAGGCTGCTGTATTTACAATCCTTCTTCATAATTAAGTTTTCGTTAAGGTTTAATAAAAGCGTAGTTTGCAACTTCAGACACAACAACTGTGATTAATTGGCAGTAACGTCACACTTTCAGAACTTAAACTGATTATCTCTAGGTATCATAAGTTCTTTCAATGTGATACCGTATTTTCCAGTTTTGAGATAGATCCTAAACCTATGTGAGTTGTCTTAGTATGATGCTCTGTGTTTGTGATTTCTAGCCTTCTGCTAAATCTGCTGGGCTCTTTAAACTCATCTTCCCTTCAGTGTGATTTGTATTTACTGGGAATAAATGAATTATCTGTAGGTCCCACTTTTGT